TTATAGTACTTTACTTTGTCTTCTCGAACTGCCCTTTGAAATCTGCTGTTTTGCTCTTTTATGGTATCATTTCTTCCATTTGCTTTAGCTATTCAATGTTCAAGAGCAAGTTTCAGAGTCTTCTGACATCCGTTTTGGTCTTTTCTTTCTTTCCTGTCTTTTTAATGACCTTTTGCTTTCTTTATGTATGATGTCCTTGATGTCATTCCATAACTTGTCATTAGTGTTCAGTGCATCAAATCTATTCTTGAGATGGTCTCTAAATTCAGATGGGATATACTCAAGGTCATATTTTGGCTCTTGTGTACTTGTTTTAATTTTCTTCAGCTTCAACTTTAACTTGCATATGAGCAATTGATGGTCTGTTTCGCAGTCGGCCCTTGGCTTTGTTCTGACTGATGATATTGAGTTTCTCCATTGTCACTTTCCATAGATGTAGTTGATTTGATTCCTGTGTATTCCATCTGGTGAGGTCCACGTGTATAAAACCCGTTGCCATCGAGTCTATTCTGACTCATAGCAACCCTATAGGAAAGAGTAGAAATGTCTCATAGGGTTTCCAAGGAATGGCTGATGGATTCAAACTGCTGACCTTTTGGTTAGCAGCCAAACTCTTAACCACTGTGCCGCCAAGGCTCATGTATAGTCACCGTTTATGTTGTTGAAAAAAGGTATTTGCAATGAAGTCGTTAGTCTTGCCACATTCTATCATGCGATCTCCAATGTCGTTTCTATCATAGAGGTCATGGATAATGCACAAAATTAATGCAAAAAGTCTATAATTGCAGAAGAGTAAAAGAAACAGTCCTTGATGATGATAATGTATTGCATTGATACAGACTTTGTATGTTCCAGAGTACTGTATCTTACCTGAGTTATCAAATAAACTTGTGGGGATCTTCACCTTTGAGAGTTTATATTCTAATAATGATGATCTTTATAATATTTTTCCTTTTTCCTCTTTTCTTATTTTCTATTACTTTTCTAATTATAAAAGTAATACTTATAACCAAACTTTTGAAAAATACATCAAGGTATAAAGAATAAAATAAAAATCACTAGTAATTCCTTCACTTCTCTATCTTTTTAGTTTCTATTCTTTTTCTACTCATTTTGCACCCAGATACATTAAAATAAAATTGCCTATCACCCTGTTTAGTATCTTAGAAACTGCTGTTTTATTACTCATGTCAACTTTCACCTTAATTAAAAATTGAAATTTTGATTATAAAGGCAATACATGCTTGTTATAAGAATATGTAATATTTAATGCATAAAGTAAAAGTTTCACCTGTCCTGACTCCCCTTCCCCCTGAAAATATCTGTCCATGACAAAGCCACTTTATATTTTGGGCCAGTCTCTTTTACGCATATGTATCAACATACGTATGTAATATCATTTTTTAATTGTGTTTTTGGTGAAGTTTACACAAGAAATTAGGTTCTCATTTAACGACTTCTATACGTCTTGTTCAGTGACATTGGTTACATATTTCACAATATATCAGCATTCTCATTATTTCCTTTCTGGTTGTTCTGTTTCCATTAATCTAGCCTCCATTTCCCTCCTTACCTTCTTATCTTTGGTCTAGGGTAAATATTTACCATTTGGTTTCATTTATATGATTATTTTGAGGAGCACAGTACTCATGGGTGATATTAATTCTTTTAAGGGTCTGTCTTAGGCTGGGTTCTCTAGAGAAGCAAAACAGGTGAAGTGTATAAATACATACATACGTACATACATATATATGTATGTATATATAAGCAAACCCATTGACATCGAGTTGATTCCGACTCATAGCGACCCTATAGGACAGAGTAGAACTGCCCCATAGAATTTCCAAAGAGTGCCTGGTGGATTCAAACTGCTGACCTTTTGGTTAGCAGCCATAGCTCTATACCACCAGGGTTTCCATATATATGTGTGTGTGTATATATATATGTAGAGAAAGAGAGAGAGATTTATATCAAGGAAATGGCTCACATGATTGTAGAGGCTGGAATGTCCCAAGTTTGTGGGACAGGCTGGAGGCTTCTCCTGACTCATATAGCTGCAAGGGCTGGTGAACCCAAGATCAGCAGGTAAGATGCTAGCTCAAGTTCCAAGAACTGGAAGTCTGATGAACAGGAGCCAGCTGCAGGATCCAGAGTGAGCAAAAGCCTGTGAGCCTTGCCAGAAAGTCCACCTATGTTGGATGCAGGCCACACCCCCAAGGAAACTCCCTTTCAACTGATTGGCTACTCACAGCAGATTCCATCATGGAGGTGATCAGATTATATCAGATGTCATCACGGAGATGTTTACACCATTATACGACTGCCAAGCTACATCGTAACTGCCAAGCCACTGAGAATCATGGCCCAGCCATGATTGACACACAACCTTAACGATAATAGGGCCAGTCTGTCAGCTGGCTGAAAGGTGACCTCTGGGAATGGTTTGAGTTCCAAGCTTAAAGAGTATCTCAGGATGATAGTCTTGGAGGTTCATCTAGTCTCTACCAGTCCAGTAAGTCTGGCCTTTTTTTTAGGAATTTGAGTTTAATAACATTATTTTTTTCTTGCCTTTTTTAAACTGAAAAATAACCTTCTAGGGCATCTTTCCCTATCTAATGTGTGTACTGCATACTTTTGAATGACCAACTATTGACTAGGAAGTACCATAATTTATTGTATCAGTTCATTGTTTATAGAGATTTAGATTTTTCTAAATTTCCTATTATGACCAATGCAGGAATGAACAACCTTGAATATTACATCTTTGTGCAATTCTTTTTGTATAAATTCTTACACTTGAAATTGCTGAACCATTTAACACTTATTCATTCAAGAAATAAAGGGCATCACACCAAAAATATGACACTTAAAATTTTGTTAGACAGCATTCCATGACCCTCTTGTGAAAGGGACCACCTAACATGTCCACCAACAGTATACAAGAATGCCTGTGTCTTCAACCTTGTAATGTTGAATATTATCAGTCTTTGGAATCTTTGCCAATCCAATGGGTTAAAAAATAGATCTGTTTATTTTATTTTGCATTTCTTCATATTAATGAAGTTGTGAACCTTTTATTTTGGTGTGATTATTGATCACTGTCTCACTTTGTAAATTGACTGTTCATGCCTTTTTTCTTTTTAAAAAATATTTTTAAAGTTTTTTATACTGAGTTCTTTAAGACACACACATATATATGCACAAAGCTTTGTATTTTTTTCCTCCTGATTATTTGTCTTTAACTTTGTAGTATCTTTTATTGTGTATAAGTTTAAAATTTATATCGCACAAATCAGTCAGTTTTTTCTTTTGTAGTTTTTGTGCCTTACATCTTGCTTAAAAACCAATTGCAGACACTAAGATATAAATATATTCTACTATTTTGAATATTTAATATTTTATTTTTAATATTAAAATCTCTAATCAAACTGCAATGTATTTTTGTATGGCATGTGTGATAAAAATCTAATTTTATTATATTTTCCAAAATCTAACTGATTGTTCCATCATTATTTATTGAATGAGCCATTGTTTCTCAATTAATTTGAAATATTGCCTTCACTTTATTTTTAAATTTGTATGTATAGATGATTTTACTGTAATTTTTTTTGTCAGAACCACTCTTTATTGCTCTATAGTTTTTTTCTGATATATGGTAGAGTAAAATTGTACGTTAAAAAAATCATATTCTTATTACATTAACTCCATAGATTAATTTGATACCCTTACAACATTGCTTTTTCTCATCCAGAAATTTATCCATTTCTCTTAACTTTTTGTATATCCTATAGTACAACTAGGTCTTGCATCTTTCTTGTTGATTTTATTTTTAGGTATTCAATGGTTTCTTCTGCGTTTGTAAATGTGTGATCTTTCTTTTAACTACATCTTCACTTGACAATTTATCTATTTCTTATCTACTGCCAATCTTAGCATTTTTTCTATACTATTCATCTTTATAAGCCACCTTTAATCCTTTTTAGAACATGCCATCATGTGGCATCTAAATTTTTAAAAAGATTCTAACAACGCTGTAATATCTGTATTTTGTTGAAAAGTTTAATGTGACAAGAGCAGCCTTTTTTCACTCTTAAGGAAAAAAGAATAGTGTTTGCAGTGGTTGGTTCTTCACAGAGTCTTTTGTTGAGGTTTAATGTAGTATCAAAGAAGACTATCCATATGAGAGTGCTTTTAAAATCCTTGTCAGATAATTTCAACATCTGATTCATTACAGTTTTGGCTTCTGTTGATTGTCTTTTCCTGGTTCTTGGTATGATGGGTGATTTTTTGTTGTATCTGGGGCATTTTAGCAGACTCTTGATCCTACCTAAATCCTCTGTTTTATTAGGCCATCACTCTGTTTCCATTTAGCGCATAGGTTCTGTCTGCTTTTGTGGGCTTTAGTTCCAAATGACAGTTTCGTTTTCTGAGCCCTTGCACTATTACTCTGGTCTGTTTTGTTCTTCTTCTGCTGCTAGGGCTTCCACTGGTGGATTGGACTGCCTGCAAGGGCCCCATTTGTGGAGGGGAATTAGGGCTCCTCATCAGGTCTTTGTTGGGCTTCCCTTTTCCTGATCCTTTGGCCAGAAAAAAGCATGCTTTTTTTCTTTTAATGCCTTTTGCTGGTTCCAGGTCGCAAGTCCCTTTTGTCCCCAGTTCAAGGGTATATGGGAGATCAAAAGAAAACTCGGGAAACTCACCGTACTGTCGTTTCTTAAGTCTTGACGTCTCTAGCCAGTCCATCTTCTATCCAACTTTCAGAATCCGTTTATTGTTGTCTGTTGAACAATTTTAAAGTTATTTAGTTTTATTTAGAGAGGAGGACCAGGGAATAGTTAGTCTACATCATCTTGTTTCAAAACCAGACTTCACTGTATATTTTTCACAGTGAAAAATTTTAAAATTGAAAAATATAAATGAAAAAATATCAGAGTAGATTAACTTTTAGCATGGGCTGTCATCATAATTGTTTAATAGCATATGTTTGTTCATTTTTATAGGAATTATGTTGGAATATGAAAAAAGTGGAGAATTAAAGACCAGATCCATAGACTTACTTGATCTCAGTCCTAGGTAAGTTAGCTATATAATGTAAAGGCAACAAGTATTTCATCTCCAAAATTTTTATTGAAAAACTCTGACGTGAATGATGTGTGAATGTGCTGAATAAACTTAATAGAAAATTATTGCTAAAAAAATATTCTTTTGTTTTGTATTATTTCCTGTTTCACTTTCAGTGTGTTCTACATGAGTGTCTTGCTGAATAAGAGGAAAAAGGGATGATCAGTTTGCCCTTTTTCTCTTTATTAAACAACCTATACTGACTATAGAAGGAGCCCTGGTAGCACAGTGGGTAAATTGCTCGGCTGCTAACTGAAAGGTTGGCGATTTGAACCCACCAGCTGCTCCGTGGGAAAAAGATGTGGTAGTCTGCTTCTGTAAAGATTTAAAGACTTGGAAACCCCATAGGGTCGCTATGAGTCAGAATTGACTCAAAGGCAGTGGGTTTTGGGGGTACTGGCTACAGAATTTTTTTTTTTGAACAAACTTTCTTATAGAATAGTTTTAGATTTACAGAAAACTTGTAATTACCGAGAGTTCCCATATATCTCACACCAATTTCTCCTGTTATTAACATCTACATTAATATGGTACATTAGCCACAACTGATGAACCAGTATTGATTGATACATTATTATGAACTAAAGCCCATACTTTGTTCAAGTTCTCTTAGCTTTTCCCTAATGCCCGTTTCTGTCTCAGGATCCCACCCAGGACACCACGTTGCATTTAGTCATCATGGCCCCTTAGGCTCTTCTTGGCTGTGATGGTTTCTCAGACTTTCCTTGTTTTTGATGGCCTTGACAGTTTCCAGGATTACTGGTTACTGGGTTTTAAGAATGTTACTGAGTCTATTATTTTCCGAGTAAATAAAAATGTTATAGGGTTGACTGCATATGTACCTCCTCCTTAGGGGTCAAGGGGCAGAAGTGGGTGGAGCCTAATCTGTGTCTTTGAAGGTTGGTGCACTCTCAGGGGAAATCCCTTTGTGAGGTGGTAATGCCCAGAATTCAGTCCCTTTAGGAAATCTTGGAGCTCTGGTGGTGTAGTGGTTAAGAGTTTAGCTGCTAACCAAAACAAAAGGTTGGCAGTTTGAATCTACCAGCCACTCCTTGGAAACCCCATGGGGCAATTCTGTTCTGCCCTATAGGGTTGCTATTAGTTGGAATCAACTCGATGGCAACAAGTTTGGTTTTTTTCTTTGATTGGGAAATCTTATGTGAAAGTCCACTTCAGGAGACAGAGACAGATTCATGATCAGACCTGTAGGAGTCCAAGTCCAGATATTTATTTTCCCCCAGATTTTCAATGGGTAAAAATAAAAACAGAACAAAAATACCACAATATGTGCTTTAGAGGTGTGGCCTGGGGATACAGCTGTTTTTGCAGTATGACTGTCCTTTTAGTTTGTATGATTGTAGGGGAGAGGAGAAGAGTCTGTCAGGCAGGGACCTCTCAGATATGTCAAATAAATAGATGAGCTGCTTTCTAGGTCTAAAATTATTCCACATGGCATCATAGCTGGTGGAGAGAAGGGCTTCCTTAGGTCTGGAGCTTCTGCTGCTCAAGAGGTGGCATTTGAGGGCACTTGTCTTAGAGTGAAGACAGTGATGGCTTTAAGGATGATGGTCTAGTTAGGGTCCAAGTCTTATTCCAGGTGCCTGGCATAGAGAATGTAGTCAGTGGAGATACATATACACACACACACACACATACACACACATATATATTAAACCAAAGAATGAATAGTGGCACAAAAAATGTCATTGAATTTTGTCTACAACAATCCTGTTTAACCTATTTTTTAGGGGAAGTCAAGGCATAATATCAAATCAAGGCTTGTTATTTCTGTAGATAGGCTAGATTACTGATTCTTGTGACTATGCTAGCATGTAGAAAGTTTTGTTAGACATTCATTTATTCTATCAGCAAATAAATATTTGGCACCTACTAGATACAAAGCTGTATGTTAGATTCTATAAGAGATTACAAAGATACTGAACATCATACCTACCCTCAGGGGCTTATTGTTGAGTTGGAGAAACAGCATGTACAAAATGGAACATTGTACAAGTGGTACAGATAAAGTTCTGTGGGAGAGAATAACTTCCAGCTAGAGATCCAGTAAAAACACAGATGTTAAATTTTGAAAGTCTGGATCTTATTTCTAGTTGTGCCTGAGAATCTGGAAGTGTTCTGCATCTAAACACACTTGCATTGTAGATGACATACTGGAGATACTGGGCTGGAAAATAGCGGTTAATTAGAATACTGCAGGGTTGGGATGTACTGAGTAAGTGTCTGGTTCATTAAGATCTTGCTAGAAAATAGATTTTGATTTATGCTTGTTGTTAGAAACCTTTCCAAGAGCCTTGTTATCCTTTTCAGTCTTATGAAAGTTTAACTATTTGGACAGCTGAGTTCCTTGGAGTTTATCAAAGTCATAATTATAAACCTTCTCTCTCTCTCTCTGACTGATTTCAATTCAAATCATTCACTCCTATCTTTGAATTGTAAGTTATTTTTTGACCCTGGTTGCATAGTGGTTAAGTGCTACAGCTGCTAACCAAAGGGTCGGCAGTTCGAATCTGCCAGGCGCTCCTCAGAAACTCTGTGGGGCAGTTATACTCTGTCCTGTAGGGTCGCTATGAGTTGGAATTGACTTGACGGCAATGGGTTTGTTTTTGTTTTTTTTTGGCACCACATCTTTCACACTCCCAGGACTGAGTCTGTAGTAAAAACCAAAACTAAATCCATTACTGTCAAGTCGATTCCGACTCATACCGACCCTATAGGACAGAGTAAAACTGCTCCATAGGGTTTCCAAGGAACACCTGGTAGACTTGAACTCCCGACCTTTTGGTTAGCAGCTGTAGCTCTTAACCACTACACCACCAGGGTTTTTGAGCCTATAGTAGGAACTCAATAAATCTGAACCGAATGAATAGTCTCATTCATCCATCCTTGTGTTCCTCAGAGAACCTAGTTCAGTGCTTTGCCCAGAACCAGAGCTTAGGAGTTGTTTATGATGAGGAGATGATGTTTTTCACAGGTAAGGTTCTCTGGGAAGCAGAGACTGAGACAGAGTTAGGTGGGCAAAAGGCCTATTGGGCAGTGGCACCTCCGAAAGACCAGGGGATGAAGCAGGATCGGGCAGGGGGAGCAATCAGACCACCAAAACGAAGACTTGACAGTCTGCTGGCCCAGAGGGGAACTTTGGAGCAAGGTATGCCAGAGGAGTCCCATGTGGGGCAGAAATGGCCAGGCCTGGCACCAGCCCTGTGCTTAGTCCTTGGTTGAGGGCCACCAGAGAAGAGCAAGCCTTTGGCTCAAATGCTGAGGGCAATGCTGAAGGAGCCACAGCTGGAGGCTGTCAGCCAACTAAACTCCTCACAGCTGGGCCACGAGTCCTGTCTTTACCTGGGGGAGTGCATCTTGGAGACACGTTTGTGACGTATTTTGCAAAATGGCCCTCCTTGAGCTATATGGACATTAATTATTTTTTTTCAACTAATATTATTCTGGAATAGAAAAATTTACTAGAATTTTTATAGATTATTTGAATACCATGAAGAACACTTGAGTCTGTTTTTTTTTCAAACCAGTTCTCTTTCAGGAATGTAATATTATAGCCCATAAGAAATATTAGTAACTGTAATTCATTGGATGTTTATTTTTGTTTGGGCACTGAGTTAAGCACTTTATTTAAAAACCTAATCTTTCTGAACTTGGTTTCTTCATTTCTAAAATATTTATAATGAAAGCATTAATTTAGAGAGTTATTATAAGGATTGAGTGAGAGAACATGTATAAAGTGAAACGTATAGTACCAGCACATTTATTTAAATTGTTGTAAAAATATATATAGCACAGCATTTGCCAGTTTAAGGTTTTTCACATATACAGTTTAATGACATCAACTACATTCATCATATCTGCCAATATCTGCTGCCAAATTTCCATCACCATAAACAGTGTTGAAAAGCAAAGATGTCACCTTGAAGACTAAGGTGTGCCTGACCCAAGCCATAGCTAGACAATGAATAAGGAAGACCGAAGAAGAATTGATGCCTTTGAATTGTGGTATTGGCGAAGAATATTGAATATACCATGGACTGCCAAAAGAACAAACAAATCTGTCTTGGAAGAAGTACAACCAGAATGCTCCTTAGAAGCTAGAATGGCAAGACTACGTCTCACATACTTTGGACATGTTGTCAGGAGGGACCAGTCCCTGGAGAAGGACATCATACTTGGTAAAGTGGAAGGTTATCGAAAAAGAGAAAGACCCACAACAAGGTGGATTGACACAGTGGCAGCAACAATGGCTCAAGCATAACGATTACTGTAAGGTTGGCGCAGGACCCAGCAGTGTTTTGTTCTATTGTACATAGGGTTGCTGTGAGTCGAAACTGACTCCATGGCACCTAGCAACAACGTGAACAGAACGTCAGTGCTTTCCAAACAATGACTCCCCATTTCTCCCTCCCTCCCACCCCTGGTAGTACCAGCACATTGAAATTATTTTGTTTTAGAAGAAAAAAAGAAGCCGGAAAAAGAAAAGAGAGAAAAAGAGCGCATGTTCAGAACTAGCATGCGTTCTGCCTTCCTAGGTGAGAAAATCACAATCTCTGCACACCTTCCAGGGGAGAGGTCCCAGTTATTGAGAAAAAGCATCTAGAGAATCCGAGAGGCTTTCTGTCATCCATGCGTCAATGCCCTTTATTGGTTTGTGTGATAGATTTTTTTTTCCTAGAAATTTCTTGGGAAAGATGATGGAATCCCCAACATTTCATAAATATCGTGCTTCCTAAACCAATACAGCTTTTCATGTAATGAGTGTATGTGCAATTTTTGAAATAGAAAAAAGGTAACTTACTGTTTTTATTATTATTATTTTGGGTCAATTTCAGTACTGATGTCAGAGCCTTAGTAGATGAGATCCAGAAAGCAGAACCTCTGATCACTGCTTCACGAACAGAACAAGTGAAACTTCTAATACAGAGGTTACAAGATAAACTCCGACAGCACAAGGACCACAAATTCTACCTTTTTAAGGTAATGTGTGTTTTAAAATATTAAGTAGAAACATTTCTGTGAAACAACTAGTTTTCTATTAATCTCTAGTAAAATATGAACCACATTTTCTCTTTCCCTAAAAATATTTTTTTCCGAGAAAAATACCTGTCAGTGGTTCATTTCAGCACCTCACATATGTTTGCTAAGAGGAAGTCTCAATAAATGTTTGTTGGATGAATAATGACATGCAAAACATTTATTTCTTGAGAGGTTGAAAAAAAGATCTTTACTAATTTGAGCTCCTCTCTATAATGATGTTTTAAGGAGTACCATGTAGGTAGGTTTAAATTATTGAATAATTGAACATTTTTTTTTAGTTAGAATAATATTAAGTTGTATTTCATGGGTATGCCGACTTTTCAGATTTTCTACTTCCATATAATTTAAACTGTATTTCAGTAAATTATGTATTGATTTAGCTTATATAATTTTAATTAATTATTAACATGCTTATTTTACTCTGTATTTTTTGATGGTTTAATTAAAGAATATAAGAAATGTAGCCATTAAGGACCTTTTTTTTTTATTCAATAGTACTTAATAATTGTTTATTCTGATTGCTTCTATTATACTGTTTTTCTTTTTTCATGATTTAAATATAATTAATATAGTAAAATATGATTATTATTTATGTACTCAGCATGCTTTATCTGGTACAAAATATCCAGGCAATCTTTTGCAGTCATCGATTCAAGTTTAGACGATGAGGTTACTCCTGTAATATGTCTTTGTCCAGCAGGTGGCGCTGTTTAACTTCAAATATGAGCTCCACAGTGTGCCCTTGTAATTTATCCTCCAAATCCGAAAATTTTTGATAGCCATAGGGGAAGCTATTAATAGTTACACCCTGGCAACAGACGTAACTGGGGCTGTCCTAGCCTAGCCAATCACTCTATAAACCGATTATCCAGTGTATGTATATTCATTCAATAAATATTTATTAAGCATTTGCTATATGCTAGACAATGTGGGGATTGAAAGTGAGAGAAAATAACACGTAGCCTCGACTCTCAAGGAGCTTTAGGATTCAAAAAGTAATAATAGGTTGTAAAATCTATATTCGAAACATCTAACATATTTCCTATTTACTCTATGTATACAAATATGCAAACCCACATACAATACGTAAAAGAAAATATAAATTACTGCTATTTGGCATCTTATTTTGGAGCCCTGGTAGCACAGTGTTTAAGAGCATGGCTGTTAACCAAAAGTTCGGCAGTTGGAATCCACCAGCCACTCCTTGGAAACCTTAAGGGGCAGTTCTTCTCTGTCCTGTGGGGTCGCTATGAGTCAGAGTCGACTCGATGGCAGTGGGTATTTTTGGTTTGGGGCATCTTATTTAATATCCATAATTTATCCTAAAGGTAAATTGGTGGAAAACATACAGTCACGTTTTTGCAATTATCAGTAACTACAAACTGTATTATTGGTCTTAATAATAGAAGGTGCAATGTATTTTTTTCTCGTTTGTTCAGATATTGACAGTTGTCCATTTCTGCATGTAATTGTGACAACATTGAATTAGTTGAAGTTTAAATTAATTGAATTTAATTTGGTTTGGGTTTAAAACAATGTTTTCTTTACCAAAGGTCCTCAGAGCACATATTCTACCATTGACTAATGTTGCACTTAACAAGTCGGGCTCATGGTAAGATTCCCTTTTTATTTCTAATTTTTAACAATCCAGGGATAAAAATTGTCTAAGGCTTTAGTTGTTGAAGAGGCCAGTTAAGTATATAGTGTTCTCATATCTCTCATTTCAGTACCCTACTGAATATAGAGGAGAAATAATAAGCCTTCTCTCTCCTGACCCTAAATATGAGATTTCTATAGTATTTGTGCCATTGTGGTAACCTCTGGGTGGGAGGCCTGTTGAGTTGTCAGCAAATAGTACAGCTGCTGTGTAAATTGACTTGGGCATGGTAAGGCGATTTCTGGTGTGTATGGGGAAGCTTGTTGTTCTTGTTAGGTGCTGTTGAGTCAGTTCTGACTCAGAGATCCTATGTTCAACAGAACAAAACACTGCCTGTCCTGTACCATCCGCACAGTTGTTGCTATGTTTGAGCCATTGTTGCAGCCATTGTGTCAGTCCATCTCATTGAGGGTCTTCCTCTTTTTCTCTGAGACTCTGCTTTAGCAAGCACGATGTCCTTCTCCAGGGACTGTTCCCTCCTGATAACATGTCCCAAATACTTACGAGGAAGTCTTGCCATCCTCCTTTGTAAGGAGCATTCTGACTGTACTTCTTCCAAGACAAATTTGTTCATTCTTCTGGAAGTCCATGATATATTCAATGTTCTTCACCAACACGATAATTCAGAGGCATCAATTCTTCTCCAGTCTTGCTTATTCATTGTCCAGCTTTCGCATGCATATGAGGTGACTGAAAATACCATGGCTTGGGTCAGGCACACCTCAGTCCTCAAAGTGACATCCTTGCCTTTCAACGCGTTGAAGAGTATTTTGCAGCACATTTGTTCAGTGCAATATGTCGTCTGAGTTCTTGACTGCTGCTTCTGTGGGGGTTGAAGCAGCATGGGAAAGGGGGTGATCTCTCATATTTGGCTTGGCATTAGGAGCAGTCGGGCAGGGACAGCCTCATGATTGCTTGTGGTGAGTGGATTCAGAGGAGGTGTTTTCTACCTAGCTCAGCGTCATGGGGTATGGCCAACAGGACCTTCAAGCCTGTTTTGAGTATGCCTTTGATCATCTTGTAACCTAAGGTGCTAAGTAGGAGAGATGAGGTAGAAGGGTTGTCTTGATCTAGACAGATATAATCATGTCTATATGTGCATAAAGGAGATCTGGTGGTGCAGTGGTTAAGAGCTACAGCTGCTAACCAAAAGGTCAGCAGTTCAAATCCACCAGACGCTCCTTGGAAACCTTATGGGGCAGTTCTACTCTGTTCTATAGGGTCGCTATGAGTCGGAATTGACTCGACGGCAATGGATTTGTTTTTTTTTTTTTTTTTTGGTTTATACGTGCATAAAGGAGACCTCATGGTGCAGTGGTTAAGCGCTTGGCTGCTAACCAGAAGGTCAGCGGTTCGAACCTACTAGGTGCTCCGTGAGAGAAAGAAATGGCAGTCTGCTTCCGTAAAGATTACAGCCTTGGAAATTCTATGGGGGTAGAACTCTTTCCTATAGGGTCACTATGAGTCAGAATCAACGTGACGGCAGTGTTGGGTTTTTTTGTATGTGTGCATATGTGTATACTTGTAAATGTAAAGGAAGGTCGTGGGAGAAGACGCTAGAAAGAAAATGCCTAGAAGGGAATCAGAAATACGTGTTACCTTGTCAACGCGCCGGTTTAGTTGGGTTTAGGTTCTAGGATTTGTTTTCTCTTTTTATCATTACCACTTGAAATGTAGACTGGCTTTTCAATTTTGTGCATTTCTTTTTCTGTTTTGGAAAGAAAATGATCTTTTTGTTATCCTTTAGAAACATTTCTATTTCAGAGATATATTTTTAAAGAATGAAAATCTCTTTTCTATTGGAATATTGAAAGAATGACTAAGATATTATTATTTTACTGTAAAATATTAGACAGCAGTATACTAGCTTCTCCTGTAGTAGAGTAGCCATTTTAAAGGAGTAGTTTACTTATTAAACAAGTAGTTATTGAATGCCTAATAGTGTGCCAGTCATTGTACTAGTTCCTGCAGATGATGGTGGCAAACGCAATGGGTAGAAGGAACAGCATGATTAAAAGAAACAATTTGACTCTTCAGAGGCTAGCAGGAAAGGGAGTGTAGCAGTCAGGGTGTGCAGTGGGAGACGTTGAGGTCCCCGAGGTAGCCAGGGACCCCAGTGACTTTGTAGACCATGAGCAGAAGTTTGAATTTTCCACCAGATTGCTGGGCAGCTGTTCAAGGAAGGTTAAAATGGTAACTCCAATTTCTGTGTGGAAAACAGGTTTGTAAGGGCCATGAGCAAGCCAAGACTCATTAGAATTCTGTTTTGTTTGCTTAGACAAGAGGTGGAGACCTTGGAGTTTGCGAGGATCGGCCTGTGTTAACAGGACTAATAGACTGGCTGTGCGATATGAGGGAAGGAGAGGGCTCAAGGATGACACCGAGGTCTTAGGGTCTGACCAACAGGGAGAGTGGTGATGCCTTTATTGAGACATATTAGAGCTTCACAAACGTTAGTGATTATTGTTGTTGTTGTTAGGTGCTGTCGAGTTGGTTCCGACTCATGGCGACCCTATAGGACAGAGCAGAACTGCCCCACAGTGTTTCCAAGGAGAGGCTGGTGGATTCCAACTGCCGCCCTTTTGGTTAGCAGCCAAGCTCTTAACCACTACGCCACCAGCGCTCCAACTGATTATTATACAGAGTATATAATTATATATAACATATAATAACATATTACGAAAATGAAAATGCTTGCTGGCAGCATTATTCTTTATTTTATTTCATGACTGATTTTTGGGTTTGGGATAAAATTCGAAAGTTTCTAAGTCAACCGATTCAGAAATTGTTCCTGATTTAACTAAATTTGTTCTGCATACTCGATTCGTATTGTAAAAAGCAAAGTAAATTGGATTATTATCCCACAAGTAAAGAAATGAAGTGTTTGAGTAAGACCCTGGTATTCTTACCCTGTGATGTATTCCTATGTATTTGTCAGCTTTATCACAGGAAGCTATGACCGGACCTGCAAACTCTGGGACACTGCTTCAGGAGAGGAGCTGCACACCCTGGAGGGCCACAGGAATGTGGTCTATGCCATAGCCTTCAACAACCCTTATGGGTAAGTGGACATCCATTCACTTATTCCTTCCTGCCTTCACTTATTCGTTCGTCCATTTATTGGATGAGGAAGGAAGAAGATAGACAGCAACATTTATCGAGTGCCTGATGTGTGATTTGGAAGCCTTTAAAATAGCTCCTTCAATCTTTATGAAAGCCCTTTGGGAGCCCTGGTGGTGCAGTGGTTAAGGTCTCAGCTGCTAACCAAAATGTTGGCAGTTCAAATCCACCAGCCGCCCCTTGGAAACCCTGTGGGGCAGTTGTACTCTGTCCTGTAGGGTCGCTATGAGTCGGAACCGACTTGACAGCACCTAACAAAAACAACACCGTAAACCAGTTGGTTGAGTCAGCTCCAACTCATGGCGACCTCATGTGTGTCAGAGTAGAACTGGGCTCCAGAGGATTTTCAATGGCTGATTTTTCAGAATTATATTGCCAGGTGGAATATAATATTCAAGTGCCCTTCCGAGGATCATACAGAAGTAAAGACAACTGGAGTTCAAGATCAAGCAAGACTGACTCTAAGGCACCTGGGAGTTCTCTGAGAGGTTGTTCCTGTGATGTTTATAAACTGGGCTGATGCCTCTGGAGAATTCGACATACATGCGTAGCATGGTTTACTTTGTTTGAAGTTTCTTTACAGTCTTGCCAGTGAGAAATAAAAAAATGTACATCAATGGCATGCTAAATAACAATACCAAGTAGAATAGAAGCATTTTTTAACCAACCTCCAGTTAACGGGTCCAATAGATTAATCAACATTCTCTCTCCTTTCTTTATGATGTTCTACCTGTACCCATGGCTCCTTGGATACCTGCAGCAGCTAGGTTATGCACTGGTACGCTTAACTTCTCTTCCCACTGGTTGAGTTCTAGGCTTATCAAGAGTAGGCTGTATTTTCTCCCAAACCTGTTTTTGCTGGTTGAGTTTCAATTGTAATTTTGTAATTTAATTAATAGGGCAGTGATGGTTCAGTGGTAGAATTCTCACCTTCCATACAGGAGACCCGGGTTCAATTCTCGGCGAACGGACCTCAAGTACAGCCACCACTTATCTTGTTGGTGGAGGCTTGTGTGTTACTGTGATGCTGAACAGGTTTCAGTGGAGCTTCCAGACTATGACAGACTAGGAAGAACGGTCTGGCCATCTACTTCTGAAAATCAGCCAGTGAAAACCGTATCGATCACAATGGCCTGATCCCATTGAGCAAGGGGTCGCCATGAGTTGGGGGCTGGCTCGACAGCAGCTAACAACAACAAGAAATTTAGTTAAATATTACATAAATAAATGAAGCGGGTGTGAAAAGAAAACTGTTGTTTCCTATGAAAACTTAAATGTAAGTCTTTGAAAAAATTGTTATTAAAGTTGTGGATGAGCTCGATGTAGAATTTAGAAAAGATGTCATAAAACCTAAAAGAATTGTGCACGTGGATTGTTCTGCAAGTATGCTTAAGTCCTTTAAGTTTTAATGCCACTTTAAAGAAAATAAAATTGGAAATTGTGGAGGTTGGATGTGATTTCTGCAAGGCAGATGAGGAGCTCCCATTAGCCGCCCCACATTCAAAGAAAAGGGCTTGACCTCCCATCTGAACACTGGCAAATGAGTGCACATTCGTTTATATTTAAGTGAAAATGTTTGACACATGTATCCTTTTTTTCATGATTGCCCACTTGAAGTGACTTTTTCCATTAACCAAGCTGGTTCAGTGAAAGAGCTTTTACCAGAGTATTATGATAACTAGAACAGAACAGTCAATAGTTCAAAAGTTAAAAGAGGAGAAAGAGATCATCAAGATTTCTCCTGGGTAGAGTCCTTCAGGATGCTATGAGACTAAAGCATGAGCCAGACACATGGACAGAAGTAGACCAGACAGCCTGAGTGCAGGGACTTAGCAGCTTAGGTGAGGATTCATCAGATATGCTCAGCAGCCCGTCTCTCTAGTGAAGATTTCAGGTTGAGCAACGGAAGTGGGTGAGGCCAGCGCAGTCTGGAGTCTGAGATCTGTTCTGTAGGACTGAGTTGCTGTCAAAGGTTGGTGAACAAAGGAGTCCCACGGTGAACGTGCTGCCTTAGAAGGATTGCTTCTGCAGAGAGAGGGGTCAGAAGATTTTGAGATGGGAAGAAAAAGCAGACAAGGAGAGTAGTTAGGAGGCAGATACAAGAATACGTTCATAAGATGATGAAAACTTAGACCAAGATAGTGACAGCAGAACTGGCAGGGATTTTATCAGCATTTGATTCACTTAGAGTACAAATTTTATACCACAATTTTTCAAAACTTGGTATCTAGGTTACTCATGTCATATCTTTTAAAAATGTAATATGCTTTCAAAATACATTAATCGTGATGGTACACTCTTAATTGGTACATTCAAAATGACTAAATTATTCCAGTTAAATTATGGAAAATTTACCTTTGATCTTTGCATTGTAGATTCTAGGGAATGACAGTTTTTATACTTTATTATACCAAATTGTGAAAGAGAAAGATTTTATTGAAATTATAAATGATAACTGTTTTATGTTTAATATAATTCCTACTTTCATTGCTATTCAAAGGATTTTTAAAGTATATAATAACATATGCATCCATAGTCTACTTAACAGTCATCATCATTATTATTATTATTTTGGAAGTTTACTAGAGAAGAAAGTATTTTGGGGATGGAGAGGTAAGGAATACTTTTGACCCTTCTATTGGATTCTACCAAGAGCCCCTGATGAAAAGTCCCCCTCTCTATTTAAATAGTTATCCAGTCTGATAATTTATATATGGAGTGAAGAGGTGTTTTTCATCCCACCTTGGGGCATTAGGGTTTCAGCAGAGTTAGTTCAAGGTCACTCACTGTCTTAGTTATCTAGTGCTGCTATAACAGAAATACCATAAGTGGATAGCTTTAACAAAGATTTATTCTTTCACAGTTTAGGAGGCTAGAAGTCTGAATTCAGGGCACCAGGTCTAAGGGAAGCCTTTCTCTGTCTGTTGGCTCTGGGGGAAGGTCCTTGTCATCAGTCTTCCCCTGGTCTAGGAGCTTCTCAGCACAGGGACCCCGGGTCCAAAGGACACGCTCCCCTCCTGGTTCTTCATTCTTGGTGGTAGGAGGTCCCTCTCTTCTCTGCTTGCTTCTCTGTTTTATATCTCTGAAGAGATTGACTCAAGATACAACCTAATCGTGTAGATTGAGTCCTGCCTCATTAACATAACTGCCTCTAATCTTGCCTCATTAACATCATAGAGGCTAGGATTTATAGCACGTAGAATAATCACATAAGATCACAAAATGGAGGATAACCACTCAGTATGGGGAATCATGGCCTAGCCAAGTTGACATACATTTTTTGGGGACATAATTCAATCTGTAACACCTACCAAGGAATAAGGAAAAGTGTGTGTGTATGTGAAAACACTTCACATGTTTATCTGTTTTGTATATTAGGTCAGGAGTAAGCTTTTGATTCAATAGTAAAGTAATTCTAAAAACATTGAAATCAGAGGTTAAGAGCTACAGCTGCTAACCAAAAAGTCGACAGTTTGAATCCACCAGCTGCTCCTTGGAAACCCTAAGGGGGTGTTCTACTCTGTCCTATAGGGTCGCTATGAGTTGGAATCGATTTGATGGCAATGGATTTGTTTTGGTTTTTATAATATTGTGTCATGTGGATGTAGAGAATGGCAATATGATAGGATAGAAATTGATCAAGAAGCAACAGCAACTTGAGCCTGGTATGTTTGCAGGACAGGAAGGATGGAAAAATGGAGTAAGGGAACTGACTAAGACCTCACAGGGCTTTGAGCTCACCTTGAGCAGAAGTCAGAAGACATCAACAGCTGATGAAAGGGCCCTAGGCCGGAAGCCAAAGGAGAGAGCCAATCAGAGACTCGGGTGTGAGAACCAGCCCTGGGTGTTAGGAAACCTTGAGGGTAGGGGTGTGCCCCAGGATAAGCCATCCCTGGAGCATCAGCAGTAAGGGGCTCCCTTTCCTTTAGGATGAGACACCACAGAAATACTCTGTGGGTGGCATGGGAACAAAGATATTCAGAACCAAGAAGAGAAGCAAGGCATCAGCATTAGACTGGTCAGACATAACTCTGAAGCTGGGCTGAGGATATACCTATTGGGCTGAGCACTTAACAATTTGCTTTAGGATATAGCTATTGTGTCTTAAGACTCCTGACACTTATGCACAATGAGCTTGCACTGTAAATAATGATCCATTTTGAGGATTTGCTGTAAAAGACAGACTTGGGTCAGGGGTAAAGAAAAAGGTCTTAGTCCCAGGATCAAAGGCTAAATAGGCCCATCTCCTCTTCCTGGCTGGGTGGTGACCTGCCCCACAGTGAACATGCGAAGCCTCTTGTTTGAAAGTGACTGAAGTCTTTGTCAAATCTCCTCTCTAAACCCACTTTCCTTCATTCACAAAGACCTTACAACTGGCATAATATCGTTATCTAGCCATATGGTTAATTGGATTACTATCTTTTCACTTTTCTCCTTTGAAAATCAATATTATCCTTTTATGGATAATATTAAGTGAATTTTCCTATGTTCATACAGTCCCTACTATACATTATTGATTCTCATTTATTAGTAATTTTCCAAACTAAGTACTTTGTCACGTTTATTATGTTAATTTAAAAATTATTATAATACTAAACAAATACATCTATACCTTTAATGTAAAATCTTTAAAATAAAAATCCTTAATATAAAATAAAAATGGTAGCATTAAAAGATGGGACATTTATTATCCACTGAAACAAATAAAGAATTGTTTATTGTTCTAAAAGTGAAGTAAATTTCTAAATGTTGTTGTTAGGTGCCATCAAGTCAGTTCTGACTCATAGCGACCCTACGTACAGTAGAACAAAACACTGCGTGGTCCTGCACCATCCTCACAGTCATTGCTATGTTTGAGCCCACTGTTGCAGCCACTGTGTCAATCCATCTCGTTGAGGGTCTCCCTCTTTTTCGCTGACCCTCTACTTTACTAAGCATGATGTCCTTCTCCAGGGACTGGTCTCGCCTGATAACATGTGCAAAGTACGTGAGATGAAGTCTCACCATCCTCACTTCTTTTTTTTTTTAATTGTACTTTAGATGAAGGTTTACGGAACAAACTAGCTTCCCTTTAAACAGTTAGTACACATATTATTTTATGACACTGGTTAACAACCCCACAACATGTCAGCACTCTCCCTTCTCGACCTTGGGTTCCTATTAGCAGCTTTCCTGTTCCCTCGGTTGCCTGCTAGTCCTTGTCCCTGGGCTGGTGTGCCCCTTTAGTCTCATTTTGTTTTATCACCATCCACACTTCTAAGGAGCATTTTAGCTAGATTCATATATTAACATTTCTTGTTTTAACTCTGTATCAATACTATAAATTGTATTTAATAACCATATATATATTTTTTACTTTTAGTGACAAAATTGCCACTGGTTCCTTTGATAAGACATGTAAACTATGGAGTGTAGATACAGGAAAATGTTATCATACCTTTCGGGGCCATACAGCAGAAATAGTGAGTATATTTCACATTTTGTTATATTTTTTATGTTGCTCTTTTTTCTTTTAGAATTCTTTATAAATGTAGTGGAGCTACCCTTATAATTAATTTTCTAATTTGCCCAAGCTTTAGTCTATATATGTTTTATGCATTGGTGTGGATATAATTTAAAAACAACTTTAGTTGTCACATCTTGCAGATGCTGTCAAAGACCTGTATCCTGCATTGACTGAGTAGACATGTCATATGATAAGCATATGAGTACAATATGTAATCTTACTTTTTCTTCTTCATTGACTTCTCTTTAAAGGACAGACTCAGTGAGGGTTGATGAAGCTATTAAAATAGCTTTTACAAGAACTTTTTTATTATTATCATGTAAAATATTTAGGCTGATAGTTTTCTTGATATCGTTAGAATTCATATTTGCATAAATAGCTCTGATACTGTAAATAGCATTCACTGTTGGGAAGCCCTTGCCGTTGGCCAATTCCGTGTTACATTTTATAGCAATTAGTGAGATAATTGGCACCCTAGGAAACAAGTAATAGCCTTTAAAAATAAACAGTCTGCTTTTTTTAGGAGTAAAATTTATTTATGTGCACCCTTCAAATTCATGATCTATTCATCCAACAAGCGCTCACGGCACTTGGCTGCACACTGGCACTTTAATGGCGCTCACCGTGCATGAAGCACTGTCCTACACCCTTTGCATTTATTTGCGTTTATTTGCTTAGTTGGGCCTCCTGACAACCCTAGGAAGTAGGTGTTGTTATTTCCCCATTTTACAGATGAGGATACTGAGTCATAGAGAGCTTAAGTAACTTGCTCCAGGGCACAATAAAGATATAATCTTGGTCCTCATAGAGTGCCCATACTTACATACACTTTGGAATTTTGAAAAGATTTTCTTTCTATATAGATCTTAGGAAGACATTTGTATTTTTCATTGTCAGCACATCCATGGAATAAATATTTACTAAATATTGACTTTGCGTGCAGCCCTGGCCTACGTGGTCGGGGCACCAAATAGGATCAGACACAGTTCTTGCACTTCAAAGACTTTGCAGTCTAGTAGGAGGAGTTGGGTGTTAATGATTAAGTCTGAAGAAGTGCTGCAGGTATGTTAGAAGTGGGCGAGGAGTTTAGTGAGGGCAAAGAGGGGAGTGGTCCAGTCTTCTTGGGCAGGAGGAGGTGTTCTGGAAAGACTTCACGGAGAGGGGGAAGCATTCCGGACCGAGGGAACAGTACTGGCCAGTGCCCAGAGGGGTGGCCAGCAGTGGTGTGTGTTTGAGAACCCATGTGGCTCTGTGTGGCCAGTGCAGTGCCACCCCACCTCCCCCATGTGATGGCATGCACAGAATATGTTAATATGGACATGCATCATACTGGGGTCACCTGTCTGAGGCCCATGACCAGAGGTGATAGGTGAGGACCCCTGGGCCTACTCAACTGCCTGAGGCTCAAGGGCATACCTGTAGCCCATTCAAGGCTAGAGCATAGGGCGTGAGTGATTGAAGTTGCAGAGTCAGGCAAGGGCCATATTACAGAATTATAGAGGACCTTCCATACCATGCTAAGGAAGTTGGACTTTATTCTGTAGGCAACCTGACACTGTTGAGACTTTTCAGCTGGGAGGTAGTGTGATCAGTTTTGCTCTTTGGGAAGATCATTCTTGTGGCTGGGTGAAGGAGGAATAGGAGGTAAATAAGATCTTCTTGCAGTCTAAGTAATAAATGATGAAGGCCTGTTGTAAGGCATATAGGAGAATGTGAGAGCTATTAAGGGAGTCGAATGAGTGGGACTTGGTTACCAAGTAGATAGGAGGCATGATTCCCTGATTTTGGACCCAGGTGACTGGCAGCATCATTCACCAATTCCTAAATAAAAGAGAACAAGTTTGGTTCATCTGACTCTCTTGTCTTAGGCAGATTGATGCTATCCAAATGGAGGCAACCATTTGGCAGTTGGCTCTTTGGGGCTGGAACTGAGAAGTGAGGTCTGGGAAGGAGACATGGACTTGTGAGTTACTGGTATATGGGTGGCAGTTGAAAGCACTGTGCAACTGAATTTCCCAGAGGAAAAGTAGAGTATGGAGAGAAGACTGTCAAAATCTTGGAAAAATGGAGAGGAGAAACCTTCACAAGATACCAAAAAGAAAAGAAGTAAGAGAAGAAAAGGAGAGCACTGTCAAAGCTGTCAAGAAGGGAGAAAATATCCAGAACCAAGGAGTCAGAGGTGCCAGATGCCAGAGAAGTTGAGTGGGATGACTGACTGAGTCTCTTGGGTTGGACATTTAACCAGAGTGGTTTTAGTAGAATGAATCCCGTTGCCATCCAGTCAATTCCAACTCATAGCGACCCTACAGGACAGAGTAGAACTGCCTCGTAGGGTTTCCAAGGAGCCGCTGGTGGATTCGAACTGCCGACCTTTCGGTTAGCAGCTGAGCTCTTAACCACTGTGCCACAAGGGCTCCAGTAGAATGAATAGGAGAGTGAGTTAGAAAGAGTGAATGGTAGCAGAAAAACATTGATGGCAGACTTCTTTTTCCAAGGAATCTGGTTGTAAATGGGAAAAAAGGTAGTTAAGAGGGGCACATTCAGAGAGCCAAGGGAGGATTTGTTTTTATGTGGGAGAAACTCAAGTATGTTCATAGGCCACCAGGAAGGATCTAGTATAGAGAGCAAGAAGAGTTAGTGGGCACCTCCTTCCCAGGAGTGCATGGAAGGTAAGGTTCTAGAAGGAATGAAAGGATCACTCTTCATCTGAGACTGAAGGAAAGGAAAGTGAGGGCCAGGTGAGGAAGTCCCACCTAACAGGCCAGTTTTCTCAGGGAAGAAGTAGAAGGCCAGGTTACCTGCTGAGGAAGGGTGAGGATGGGGCTGGGGACAAGAGTGGACAATGGGGAATATACTGAGCCAGAGACCTGTTAAACAAAGTATGGAGTGGTGCCAGGGGCTTGTCTGAGGACAGAAGGCATGAATGAGCAACACCATAATCTGCTATGCAATTTGCTTTAGCTGCCTTAGCTGAGTGGTGAGGCAGGGAGAGCAGATGACTGGATAAAATCCCAGGTGGATAAAAGTTAATATCATGAGTTTGCATGAGGGGTGCTGTTGAAAGACAGGGACAAGAGTGTCAAGGATGCTGGCAAGAGTGAAGCCTCACAGGGTGCCGGCTACATGAGATGATGAACCAGGAGAGAAGGAAGGGGTCCAATGAGATGGAAGATATACTGGTGGGGGTGGTACAGAAGAGAGAAGGCTGACACATCAGAAAGTAGTAACTGGAGACTGATGTATTGCAGTTGAATCTTCTAGAGAAGATATGTCAGGGTCCCGGTTGGCCATGGGAGGGATTACTGAAGAGAGTACAGGGGTGCTGGATGAATTACCCACACAAAGGTCCTGGCCACCTAGGACTTGGAGTTGAGACTCTGAGCCAGCAGCCAAAGCCCTTGATGGATGAAGGGGTACTTGAAAGGACTGTGATGGCAGCAATAAGGAAAACGAAGCCCAGATAGCATGAACCTCAAGGAAGAAGGGTTTTGCCTTTGTTCTTGTTTCTTCTCTGGTCTGGACGTGGCAGAAGGAGCCAGCGCTCCTTCACGTCTGAGCTGGGGGATGCCGGAAAACAGGCAGCCTTTTCTCAAGAGAGGATCGCTTCAGGATTCAACCTGGAGAGGGCAGGTTACTCACACATGTTTGCTGTTTTGGTATGCATTGGTACAAGGAACTGAATGGAATCTGCTAAGGTGGTTGCATCTTGAAACTTTTCCTGTATATGATTAACAATTTGAAACTCTATCTTTTAAAAATGTCTTCTGTTTCGTGTACTTTAGGTGTGTTTATCGTTTAACCCTCAGAGCACATTGGTGGCTACGGGAAGTATGGATACAACAGCCAAACTGTGGGACATTCAGAACGGAGAGGAGGTGTCCACTCTAACAGTATGTTAACAATGTCAGCAGCTGCAAGGGCTTTATCTGTTCATTAGTTGTTATTTAGGATAAGCCTACTGTTTGTGTTGTTTTTGTTACAAAATAAATTCTAAGTTAGATGTTTTTAAGCCATTGGTTTTCAAATCGTAGTGTAAGAGTGTTCCAAAAGACTTGGCTGGAAGTGCCAGGGAAGCCACCATTTTATTTTTGACTAACTTTAGTCTGTAAAACACAAACTATAGCTTAAAGCCCCTCATCATCCCTCTGACTAAAAGCAAAATTGGTGGACGCCAGCACTTGTTGGAAGAGGAAGAACTGGAGAACCATTCCAGAAGATTCCTTTAAGGGATGACAGTTAACAGTCCTCTCCTCTCCAGGCGTAGGACCTTCCTGTATTAAGTATGAAATGCTAAGGGGCAAGTGACAGGAGATGAAAGGGTAAAAGGACACACTGCCCCACAGACTGAGTGCTGCTGGAAAAAATATCAGGACCCCTGACTCACCACCACCATGCTTCCCACACCTTCCTGTGACACTTCATCCCACCCCAGCCCAAATTACCAAAGCAATAATAGGGCTGTTCTCTAGTAATCAGTGGAAACAGCTGGATGGGCAATCCATAGTTTTCTTCTCCTTCCAAAGTTATTGATGGATTAAAAAAAAAAAAAAAAATAGAGCCCCTTTTCTAAGAAAGCACTCTTTCTGAACTTAGTTCTTATTATTTCATGGGTTGCTTTTTCACTACCTCTTTTTTCAGGCATAATATGAAGAAAAAATCCCCATTAATGCCTGCAGCTCCAACTAAAATCCTTCTTTTTACTGACTGTGTCTAAGAGCATTTGAAGGAATAATCCTGTACTGTGTACCTATCTGCCACCAGAGAATGCTTCTGTGTGTTTAGAATTCTAATGTGCAACTGCATTTAATTATTGTCATTTGGAATCAGCCAGAAAACTGATCTGTAAATGAACTTTTCTAATTCTTTGTATTACTTTAAAAATGCAATGTTGTTAATTTACTAAAATAATTAGGGAGAGCAGGGATATACCCCAAGTGGGATCCTGTTATCAGTGAATCTACTGCAGTGAATCTACTGTTTGACCTATCAGCGCTAGACTGCAACCAGGTGGAAGTCAGGCCAAAGGCTTGGCATTCATTTATCTATTTCATATAAAATGTCAACTTATATGAATTCCTCTTTAAAAAAAGATATTAACTGTACTTCTTAAACAGTTTTCTTTGCCTGTATCATCTGCTATAAGGAGCCCTGGTGGTGTGGTGGTTAAGCGCGTGGCTGCTAACCGAAAGGTCAGTGGTTCGAACCCACCAGCCAGTCTGCAGGAGAAAGATGTGGCATCTGCTTCCATAAAGATTTACAGTCTTGGAAACCCTATGGGGTAGTCTATTCTGTACTATAGGGACGCTATGAGTCGGAATCGACTTTATGGCAACTGGGCTTTTTTTGAGGGTGGTATCATCTAATATCAGCCCCTGAAGGATACAGAACTTTCTAGAGTTCCCCAACGCAATGCGAAAGAAGCCCTGTGTTGTCCCCAAGCATGTCCTCCATATCTGCTCTTCCTTAGATTTTTTTTAAACATCTTTATTGAGGTAGACTTAAGACAGTAACTTTCACTTGTATTAAATGTATGTCATTGATTTTTAGCAAATATACAGTTTCAGAATCATCACCATATCCAATTCTAAAACATTTCCATCACCCCAAAAAGAAACCTCATGCCCATTAGCAGTCACTCTCTATTCCCACCCAAGGCCTAAAAAAAAAAACAAGACAAAAAAAAAAACAAAAAACAGTTGCCATTGAGTCAATTGACTCCAACTCATGGCGACCCCATGTGTATCACAGTGAAACTGTGTTCCATAGGGTTTTCAAGGGTGGATTTTTTGGAAGTAAATCACTAGGCCTTTCTTCTGAGGCACCTCTGGGTGGACTTGAACCTCCAACCTTTCTGTTAGCAGTGGAACACATTAACCATTTGCATCACCCAAGGACTCCACTCCTAGCCCTAGGCCACTACTAATCTACTTTCAGTCTCTTTAGATTTATCTTTTCTGTCATTTCCTTTTAGGCTATGATATTATTTTATCTATGGGTGTAGAAATTGTTTTATCTACGGGTGTACATACCTGCTCTCTTTCTAGGGACATTCAGCTGAAATCATCTCCTTGTCGTTCAACACGGCCGGAAATAGAATCATCACGGGCTCTTTCGATCACACAGTCTCCGTGTGGGATGCTGCGACTGGAAGGTATGAATTTTTTAGCCTGCATCAGGCCGTTAAGAGGAAACTCTTTGTTATTTATTAGTTTAATTTAATATTAACTGTCTTTTAGTTTCTATAGGAATAGGACACTTCGAAAACATAAATTAACTCATTCTTTAAGGGATATTTCTAATCCACAAAAAGGTGTTTCCCAGGAATGCTTGGCAAATAATGCCAAAGCAACATGAAAGGAGAATATTAGAAACAGCATGGTTATATAGCTTGATTATTTGTTCCCTGTACTATATAATCAAATCTCAGTGGACTGTCGTTGGGGTAGGCATGGATATCATGAATAATACAACTCATAGCTAATTTCCCAAATTTAATTTAGTTCTAGAGCTTCAATTTCCTTCCTAATGATTTTTAGTTCTAGTTGCTAAGAAGTTAACTAAATTAGCCTATTTGTGTTATAAAACTCTTTTCTTGGACTTGTCTGCATTTTGATGGAGGGGCCAATTACCAGGGGGTAGTGACCAAAATGTATGCAATAAGAAAGGCGAGAGAAGCCAGTTTGATGGGTAGCTCCTGAGCAACCAGGGATTCACTCATCTGGTATTAAGAATCCTTCCAGAATTTCATACTACCTTTGTTAATTTTTACCCATTCCTTTTGGAAGTGTTAGGTCTTACATGTTATTACCTTTGATTATTTAAAATTTTAAATGCATTTTTCTTGAAATAACATTAGGAGCTGGGTGGACTCTTTTTGAGCTGTCATAGAACACTTTTTGCTTTGTTATCAAGGATACTGTTTTGTATAAACCAAAATTTAGATTACCTCCCATCAATGGACTTGACCTCATTTTTTGTGCGCATATCCTGAAGTCAGGTATCTTTCCCCAGTTTTAATTTTTTTTTTTTCCATTTTGTAGTAAGGTGTATACCTTAATTGGTCATTGTGCTGAGATTAGCAGTGCATTATTCAGCTGGGACTGCTCTCTAATATTAACTGGCTCCATGGACAAGACCTGTATGGTGAGCTACAGAAATACCTTCACTTGCTAATTCTTGTGTCTGTCCTTTTTACTGCATCAGAATATTCATTGTAATATTAACAAATTTCAAAGGTTCTATAAAATTAAAATATTAATTTAGGAATAATAATTGCTCTTTGTTTTTACTTCAAGTTTCTGATTTCCCAAGTTGGAAGGAATTATGATGTAGTAATTTCAATTGACTCAAATTTATTTAAAGGTCTTATTTCAAAAGGCACATTCTTTTTTTAAAATGTCTTCCTGTTCATTTATAAACTTTGATTAGTGTGAACCTCAAGGAGTCTCCACACAAGGTCTCCTTGCCTCTAAGTTTCTGTACTATTAAAAAATGGCTAATAAGAACTTATGCTCTGAAATTATTGTTTGATTATACACCAAATGTGGTATAATCTTATCATGTACTTTCCATTCCCTGGAATTGTGGTTTTAGCATGATATCATTTATATAAAAAGAGGACATCTCCACTCCAATCAGTAAAGCATGCACTTGAGATTTTTTCCTTATGTAGTGGCAGATTTGCATGGATCCATTCAAATATCTGCCTTGGCTTTCGGTATGAGTGAAATGTGTCTTGCTAGATGGCTGGCTGTGGTCTCTGACCATGAATTAAAGTCAAACCAAACATACAAGAATTATGTACGTGATTTTGGCGAAGTTAGTTAACCGGTCATAAGCATGTTGTAAAGACTACTTCTGGCCATATTTTCTCTTTAGACAGGAAATCATAGTCTTTTAATTTTTAAATTGCAGTTGTGGGATGCTACAAATGGAAAATGTGTGGCAACCTTAACAGGCCATGATGATGAAATACTAGATAGCTGTTTTGATTTCACTGGAAAGTTTATTGCAACTGCTTCAGCTGATGGTAGGTAACCAGTTCATCCGTTTAATTCATGGAGAGATGTATGCTTTGTTTGATAAACATGTATGATTCTACAGTATGGGTCATCTCCCTGATGACCAGCTATAATGGAAACTATATCTGCCTCATTTCCATGATGACCATGTATGTTATTACTTTATGTCTTTATCATATCCTTGATAACCACATGTGGTGCTATACTATGTCAGAGTCAACTCCTAATGACCACATAGAATGCTATACTATGTCTGCATCATCTCCTTGATAACTACGTATGATGCTGTATTCTAGATCATCATCTGGATACTGCATTATGTATTCATCATTTCCCTGATGACCAGGTAGACACTATACTATGTATGTCTGCGTCATCTTCTTGATGACCATGTATGATAATACATATACCCGTGTCATCGTCTTAAAAACCAGGTATGATGTTACATTATACCTGCCATCATTTCCTTGATTTGCCACATATGATGTTGTACTATACCTACATCATATCCTTGATAACTGTGTATGATGCTGTTTTATGAGTCATCTTGCTGACAGGTATGTATGATGTTACACTATGTCTGTAGCATCTCCATGAAAGATACATGTAGTGCTACACTATGTCTACATCATCTCACTGACAACCATATATATTCGCACACTATGTATGCATCGTATCCTGGATAACCATTTATGATACTGAACAATAGGTCTTCCTCATGACTATATATGAGGCTACACTATGTTCGTGCTATCTCTCTGAAACCACATATGACGATTCATTTTGTCTGTGCTGTTTCCCTGACAAGCGTTTATGATGCTTCAGTATGTCTGCATCGTATGTCTGACAAGCACGCCTGACACTACACAATTTCTGCATCATCTCCCTGACAACCCTGTATGACACTATACTACATCTACCTCATGTCATTGATAACCATGTTGGTACTATCCTATGTCTGCATCATCTCCTTGACAACAACATATGATGCTGCACTCCATCTGCATCATCTCCTTCACAAGCACATGCGATGCTATAGTGAGTCTACCGTGTGTCATGCTGTTCTCTGAGACATCACCTTGACAACTAAATATGATGCTATACTATGTCTGTGACATCTCTATGTCTGAAGAGAGATGATTTTACACTATGTCTACATCTTCCACCTGATGACCATGTATGAAGCTATACTAAGTCTACATCATGGCTCTGGTGACCATATATGATGCTACGTTGTGTCTGCATCATACACGTGACTACTATATGTTTTAAGTTATGCTATGTCTTTGTCATTCCCCTTAAAACCACTTGTGATGTTACACTATATCTAATTCTTTTATAACCTCATATGATACTATGCCATATCTGTGTCATTTCCTAGAAATCCACATACGATCCTAGAATATTTCTGTTTCATCGCCTTGATGACCATGTATGATCTACACTATGTCTGCATCACCTCCTTTATGAAAACGTATGATTCTATATTATATCTGGGTCATCTCTTTGATATATGCTTCTGACACTGTACAAAACATACATCATCTCTATGAGTACCATGTATGATGCTATATTATGCATTGTCTCCATGATTAGCATACATGATGCTACATACTCTGCATCATCTAAATCAGGTATGGGTGAGGCTGTGTATGATTCATCCTGGGGCAATATTCTTCTCCATCTGTGGACCTGTGAGACTAGAAAGCAAGTTATCTGCTGCTAATATACAGTAATGGTATAGGAATAGGACAACAGTTATAGATATTCTTTTTCCAAAAGGGAGAAAATGGAAGGAAGAAAGGAGTCACTGGCTCCAAGCAGTTTTGAAACTCAACTGGGCAAACTCCATTCAGTTTCAAGGCATGGGAACAATCCTCTGTGGCTCAAGGCTCCATCCTCTGGGCTCATGGCTGCACCCTCAGGGTCAAATTATCCACCTTCTGGTTCCAAGGCTTTGCTCACGTAGCCATCCTTCCTTTTACATGAAGGGTAGCATACGTTTGCTGCAGAGTAGTTATAACAGACTGTTTCCTGCCTGTAGACTTTTGAGAGTCCAACAGCCTTCTTTTTTCTCCTTTCTCTCTCTCTTTGAATCCAAGCTAGCAGTGTTTCTTCTGCTATAATATTCTCAAAAACCTTGTGGGTCTTCTATTTATGTCATTGGTGTTCACTTCCTTGACAACAGGGTCCTCCACAGATTTTTCCTGGAAAATATCTTTATTTCTGGTGTTTCATGAGATGGGTGAAGGTATCCATGAATTGTATGCTTAATTTTGTCAAAGAACCCTCTGTATGAAAGAGTATTCTGAACCTCCAGTTCTTCTGAATTACTACCAAAATGCTGTCTAGCCACACACCTGGTTCTCTATTTGGAGAATGCTTTCCTAACAGTGAATCTCCTAATTGTATCATCTTTAGCAGTATGCATAGGCAGATGATTTCCCAGATCACTAAGTCTTGGTTCCATTTTGTTTTTATGTTCCTTCCCTCAATTTATCTCTCTCCTCTTGCATTTTACTTAAGCAGTAAGAAGAAACTAGGCCACTCCTTCAACACTTGGCATGGAAATCTCCTCAGCTAAATATTCTACATCATTATTTACAAGTTCTGCTTTCCACATAACTGTAAGACACAATTCAGCTAAACTTACTGCCACTACAAAGCAAGGGCCTCCTTTGTTCCGGTTTCCAATAACGTGTTTCTCATTTCCTTCAGAGCCCTCACCAGCAGTCACCTTTTCCATCTGTATTTCTACCAGCATTCTGTTTTTGACAATGTAAGTATTCACTAAGATGATACAGGCTTTTACTGCCATGCTCCTCACTTCCTTGTGAGCCCTCACCAGCAGCACCTTGAATGTCTATATTTCCACCAGCAATCTGTTTAAAGTAGTCTAAGTTTTCTCTGCATTGTGTGTGATACACGGAGGATCATCTCCTTGATGACTGTGTATGGACCTACTCATTGTCTGTGCCATCTGCTTGTCATCAGGTATGATGCTGCAGTAAGTCTGCATAATTTCCTTGATAGCCATGTATGATGGTGTACTATACGTACTTCATTTCCTTGAGAACCATGATACATATACTATATGTCATCTCCTTTAGAACCATGTATTATGTTACACTATTTCTGAGACCTCACCTTGATAACCATGTGTAATATTATACTGTGTGTGCTCCATCTGGTTGAAATCCGTGTATGATGCTATACTATGTGTTATCTCCTGAATAACCGTATATGATACTATACTATTTATGTTTCATCTCCTTTATAATCATTTATGATGTTATGAGTTATCTACATAAAGCACAAGAATGATGCTATGTTGTGTTTCTGTCATCTCCTTGATGATATCCATGTATTATGCTATATTATGTCATCTTGTTTATTACTATGTATGATACTGTATTCATGTCATCTCATTGTATGATTCTACAATCAGTCTCTGTCAGATCCCAGAAAATAACATATGATGCTCCACTATCTCTTGGTCATCTTCCTCATGACAACGTAATATGTAACTCTATGTTACACTATGCCTGTGTATTTCCCTGATGACCATGTATGACACCAAGTGTGCCTGCATCTTCTGTCTGAAGACTGTGTTATACACAGTCGTATAACTGTATAACTGTGTCTGTGTCATCATCCTGAAACCACTTATGATGTTACACTACATCCTCTTCAAGCCATTATCTCCATGAAGATCATTTTAGATGCTGTATCATGTCTTCATCATTTCCTTGGTTACAACTTACGATTCTCCACTATGTTTCATCTCCTTGAAGCTGCATATGAGACTATATTATATGTAAATCATCTTCTTTGGAACCATCTTATGTATCATCTCCATGGTAACCACCCATGATGCAATGCTATGTCTGTGTCAACTTGCAAACTATATGTGATGCTATATTATGACTTATTTTCTTTTTAAAATTTTATTGTGTTTTAGGTGAAAGTTTATAGTGCAAATTAGTGTCTCATTCAAAAATTTACACCCAGATTGTTTTGTGACATTAGTTGCAATTCCCACATTGTGTCAGCACTCTCCCCCGTCCATCTTGGGTTCTCCGTGTCCATTTGTCCAGTTTTCTTGTCCCTTCCTGCCTTTTCGGCTTTGCTTTTGGGCAGGTGTTGCCCATTTGGTCTCGTATGCTTGATTAAACTAAGAAGAATATCCCTCACGTGTGTTATTGTTTGTTTTATAGGCGTGTCTAATCTATAGCTGAAAGGTGGACTTTGGGAGTGGCTTCAGTTCTGAGTTAGCAGGGTATCTGGGGGCTATGGTCTCGGGGGTTCCTCCATTCTCTGTTGGACTAGTAAGTCTGGTCTTTTTTTTTTGTGTGTGCGTGAATTTAAATTTTGTTCTACATTTTTCTTCCATTCTGTCTGGGACCCTTTATTGTGATCGCTGTCAGAGCAATTGGTGGCGGTAGCCGTGCACCATCTAGTTCTTCTGGGCTCACGCTGGTGGAGGCTGTGGTTCATGTGGTCCTTTAGTCCTTTGGACTAATATCTTCCTTGTGTCTTTGGTTTTCTACATTCTCCTTTGCACTAGATGGGATGGGACCAATAGATGTATCTTAGATGGCCACTCACAGGCTTTTAAGACCCCAGACACTACTCACGAAAGTAGAACATAGAATATTTTCTTTATGAACTATGTTATGCCAGTTGACGTAGATGTCCCTGATGAATTATTTTCTTGATCACCAGTTATGATGCTGTACTGTTTCTGTGTCATCTCCCTAACTGCCACATATCATGCTACACAATGTGTGCATCAGTTCCTTAAAGACCACTGTTAGTTTAATTTTCTCAGTCATCCGCTAGTTCACTCTAGCAGTGATTCTGTTCTCGATAGGGAAAAAACAAAATAAACAAGTATTTTTTAAAATTTTTTGGCATGTTTTCTAAACCTCTGCTCATTCTGTGATTTAGGCTTTGTAAGTAGTTTTGATGTTTAGACCATTCTTTTTCTTTTTCTTTTCTTTTGGTCTTTGCTCCTCATTTCGTTCTTAAGAATTATGATCTCGTTCAACAGCTACATCTCTTTTTATTACAGAGTTTCAGACACTTTGTTTCTCTTTTCTGAGGCTTTAAAATATGCTTTTGTAAACTTTAGAGCATTTGTCCATGCAGGAGATTCTCTTTTGTGTTATTAACAAACACAGAACTGTTGTTTTCCTTTAAGGCTTTTGAAATATCCAACTCAGTAGCATGTTTTATATTTTTTTATCAAATTAACTCCACAATAACAATTCTTGTCATTGTGTCCACTTTCTCTTAAAGTTTACATTGTAATAAAGGTAAGTAAAAATTGTATAAAGATATTTTGCGTTCCTCTAAATGAAAAGTAAGTATTTTACCTCTGTCATTTTGTAATTTACATTAAGAAAGCATCCTTCATCTGGCCAGGTGAACTGTAACTTTTTTTTCTGACACTAATTTCACTAGTGCTGTTTTTCTCTTTCTATATTTATTAAACTCCTCCATTTCTTAATTCTAAGAAAATGTACATACTACTTCTTTCATCCAAGCATCTGTCTACCCATCCTGCATTTATTTATTGTCTCCTATGTGCCTGGCATCTCCTAGGCACTGGCGCTACAGCAGAGAACAAAACATCTTATTAGCTCTTTCTGTTGGAAAGAGTTTCCTAGAGAACAGTGGTGATTCAGTGGTAAAATTCTTGTCTTCCGTGTGAGAGACCTGGGTTCCATGCCTAGCCACTGCACCTCATGCGCAGCCACTGCTCATCTGTGAGTGGAGGCTTGTGTGTTACTATGATGCTTAATAGATTTCAGCAGAGCTTCCAGACTAAGACAGATTAGGAAGAAAGGCCTGGCAATCTACTTCTGAAAATCAGCCAATGAAAATCCTATGGATCACAATGGTCTGATTCTCTTGTACGCGGGGTTGCTGTGAGTCCCCTGACTCAATGGACGCTAACAACAACAACAGCTCCTGTTTGTCCACTGAGTAGTGGTTGCTGCTCCTTCTTTGGAAGGTCTCATGTACCTTCCAGATCTGTAGACTCATACCTGGTGCATGATGCTGGCATAGCTACTCTTTTCTCTGGAAACTTATTTTGATTCCTTTCTTTCCCTTCAAAAACTTTCTCTTTTTGGAGTTCTCCCCTTTTCCACCTGGGAACACCTTGTTTCCTCTAATAAACTCTGGGCTGGAGAGGCTGTCTTGGAGACTGAGCCCTTTCACCTTCCTCTCCTATAGCTTGTAGTTAGTGGCTGGCTCTCACTTCAGGCAAGAAGACGATTACTTAGTACAAAGCTCGTGTGTCAGTGGGATGGATATTTAGATAATTCAAGGTCTGTGCTTCAAAGTTTTATATTTCAGATAAATTTATACATATCTTCACCCTTCTTAAAAAGGAACAGCAAGAGTTTTCAGTGCAGCCACAAGAAAATGCATTACCAAATTGGAAGGGCATGAAGGTGAAATTTCAAAGGTGAGTTGCTTTCTCATTTGGAGCAGTTTATTTGCTTACACACAAAAAAAAATCCAGTATGCTTAGTATAATAGACCTATTACTTAATGCAGCCCTTGCTAGAACGGTGGTACAGTGGTTAAGAGATACGGCTGCTAACCAGAAGGCCAGCAGTTCAAATCCACCAGCCACTCCTTGGAAACCCTATGGGACAGTTCTATTCTCCTTTAGGGTCACTATGAGTCGGAATCGACTCGATGGCAATGGGTTTGGGTTTTTTTGTTTTTTTGTTTTTTGTGCTGGAATGGAGGTGCTAAGGTCTCTTCAATCTTATTCTTTCTAGAAACCAGTTACCTAAAGACTTAATTTTTAAGTGTGTTCTCAAACTCTGTAATAAGATAAAAGATTTCTAAAACCTTTTAAAAAGTATAAAACGGTATTCTCTTCAGCCATCAGGAAAAGATTTAGCTAGCTGAAAATACTTAATAAAGCAATTTAAGGAGCTTACGAAGTTCTTTCCCTGTCTCTAGTAACCAGACGTTTGTATTATATAAAATCGTGCCTTGCAACAAATATCAGGTATTCTGTAAATTAGGCGAACCTGAAGTATTTTCTGGAAATACTTAGCACTTATAGTATAAAATTATCCGTTTTGAAATGCTAAACCTTATCTTAGAATCCTCTGTATGTTGTTTTTGCTGGGTGCTGTTGTGTTCATTCCGACTCATAGCGACCCCATGTGACAGAGCAGAACTGCCCCAGAGGGTTTTCTAGGCTGTAATCTTTACAGAAGCAGATCGCCAGGTCTTTCTCCCACAGAGCCACTGGGTGGGTTTAAACTGCCAACTTTTCAGTTAGCAGCCGAATGCTTAACTGTTGTGCTATAACCCACCCCCCCCACCCCCCCAAAACAAACAAACAAACTTATTCACAGAACACGGTTGTCCAGTCAGTGATCTGAGGTTTCAACGTGTTTACATTGGAAAATTATAGAGCAGGCTGGGACTTGGTGACTCTTGCCTCCCAGCGCAAGCCAGTTCCCAGGCCTCATACCTGACATCAGATTTACCCCTTCCTTCTAAAACAGCACCTCAAGGGTTCCAGGTCTCTGCAGGCCCTGTCCAGACCCCAAGCCGCCTCTGCTGTGCTCTCTTCCACAAGCCTCTGCGTCCCGTGCTGGTGGCTGTTGCGCTGGGCCTGTCAGTGCTGGCCTCTGCGGCGGAGAGAGGGCAGTGCCTGGGCTCTTCATAGACTGGGAGGCTGGAAAGCCTTCGGGACTGGCAGGAAGTGGGCGGAGAGCGTGGATGTGGGAGACAGGCTGAGGACAGAGCCCGAGCCGTGTTTCTGAGTGTCTTTGACACACCTGAAGTATCCCACTCAACAAGTATACATCTGTTTTGCGTGTGTGAATACAAAGAGTTTTTGAAACTCCATATTATTGCATTTTTATGTCAAGTGAATATACTACTTCACGAATTGCCGTTTGGTAATGGCATTTTTCTGGAGTCCTGCATGGTGCAAATGGTTAAGTAGTCAAATACTAATTGAAAGGTTGACGGTTCGAACTCACCCAGAAGTGCTTCAGAAGACGGGCCTGTTGATCTGTTCCGAAAGGTTGCAGCCTTGACAACCTTATGGAGTGCAGTTCTATTCTGCAGCACGTGGGGTTGCCATGAGTGGAAATCAACTCAGTGGCAACTGGTTTGGTTTTGGTGATGGCATTTCAATGAGGGGTAAAGCTAAGGCATTCATTTATTCATTCGTTCATCGAATACTTAGTGAAGCTCCTTGGTGCTAGGCGTTGTGCCTGGTCCTTGTGACTGATGGCCATGCCCTCAACAAATCTGCAGTCATGGGGGAAGTGACCCAAAGAGTTGTCTTTTGATGATTTAGAGAGGGACGTAAGGGTGACACCTAAAGGAATGGATGACTAGCAGGTTCCTCTGACAGTCACTCAGATACTAGTTGGCAATGCCCTGCACGTGGAGGCTCTCAGAAAATATTGATGGAAAGTGCTGCACTTTGGGTAGCGATAAACGGGAAAGTTCTCTCTCATAGGCCTAGGTGTCATTTATTCTATGGCACAGACTGCTTTTATAACAGAAAGTTGAGTGGCAGAGATGGCATCGGGTACGAAGGAACCTGACTTGTGTTCTCATCCACACCAGGGCACTGATTCTTGCTTTGTGTGAAGATGGCCATCACGGGGCATTGGAAAGAAGATAGGCTGGGGAAGGGGGTACTCAACTTACAAGAGTGGTTCAGTCTTTATCTGTAGCATTGTGAAGGGGTAGGTCATTAAACTTTTCATGTACACTTTCTCCTCACTTAGAGACTATCTTGTTATCCAACATTTCACATTTACAACTATTTTGCACATTAATGACATACATCTGGCAGTAACGAACGCCTAGGTGCTAGCTTTGATGGTTAAGGTTATATGTCATCTCGGCTGGGCCATGATTCTCAGTTTTGCGATGATGTAATTTAGCAGCTATGTAATGATGTAGTCATCCTCCATTTTCACATAAGGCCAGTTTCACATAACAACCTGGTCTTTGGAACCTAACTTATCATGTCGATAAGTGAGGAGAGGGTGTATTAATCCCTGCAATGTTTTTCCTATAATATTCTGTGTGAAAATAAATGCCAGGCTGGGAAGGTGACAGCTTCTTAGTAATGTCCCCTTTGTGCTGATTAAAAGTATACTAGGAATCACACCAATCTGGTGTTAATAAAATACTGTGTTTGAATTTTCTTATTTCACCTTTGCAGATTTCTTTCAACCCCCAGGGAAACCGTCTTTTAACTGGCAGCTCTGACAAAACAGCGAGGATCTGGGATGCTCACACTGGCCAGTGCCTCCAGGTTCTTGAGGGGCACACTGATGAGATCTTCTCATGTGCTTTCAACTATAAAGGCAATATCATCATCACAGGTATGGGAGAGGTAAACACCACAGGCTCAGCTTTCCTTTTAAATTGGCTATTAGCATTCCCAAGCTGAACACCAAAAGGAGTTTACCCCACTGCTACCCCTTCCCCCTCAGCCTCGGGCGCATTTTGGTGGGCTCTGGTGGCTCCATTGTTTGATTGTAGTTGCATCAGGAACCACACGAGTGAGCTCTGCTGCCCATGGTGGTGCAGTGGTTAAGCACTCAGATGCTAACCAAAAGGTCAGCGGTTCAAACCCATCAGCCACTCCACAAGAGAAAGATGTGGCAGCCTGCTTCCGTAAAGATTGCAGCCTTGGAAACCCAATAAGGCTCTTCTGCTTTGTCCTGAAGGGTCACTATCAGTTGGAATTGACTCAGTGGCAGTGAGTTTGGTTTTTGATTTTTGGACCCTGAAGGTTAGGGAACCCGCAGCACCCAGCACTGCTCCACGCCAGGCTTGTCATTGCCACAGATGGAAGGTGAATGGCGCCCCCTGGAGGAGGAGATCAAGGTTGCCTTGGAGTAGCGGGGAGGGTGGAGAGGAGGCAAAGTTCACTTTCTGGCTGACTCTGAGAAAAATCTAGTGACATTTTGAAACGTTCTAAGTGGAAGGTGCTGCTTCGTGGCACGTGAATCAGCCAAACCTGGAGATGTTCAAATTCACTGCTTTTCCGCTTGGCGGCATGTTGGAAGGAGGGCAGGAGGAAGAAGCAGAAGGGGATGGTTGACGCAGCTACGTTCTCGGGTCCTCTCCAATCCTAAGATGCCATGAGTCCATGAGTCTTGCTGGTGTGAGTAGGACGGGACCTGCTTATTTAACACCAGCCGTAATCACGCAAAAAAAAAAAAAAAAAAAATGAGCACACCTTCAAAACTGCTTGACGTGCTCAGGGGCTCTGCAACTAGGCACTGGGAATCTGACTCATTTCGCACGCTAATAACTCATGGTGACCCAGAAAACGTCAGCTGGTAAAAGAGAAAGTGAAGTGAATACACTATAAGAAGAAATAACTTTGTGAAATTTGCTTTATTAGGCAGCAAGGATAACACCTGCAGGATATGGCGTTGACCGACGGAAGCCTGTTGGCGAACAGACTTGCCAGCAATGGTGATCAAGAATTTGAGCTTCAGAGATAGCAAGCAAACTATTTTGATACTTCATACACTTTATTTATTTATTTTTTACATTGTCTATTTACACACTCTCTTCTTAGCTTCCCACATATGACTATTAAAATCAATGTAGTTCTGTGTTTTCTTCTATATTATTTGATGGGAAGGATAAGAAACAGCATACTGTTTTGACAGATGTCACTGGTTATGTCAATGTTGTTTTATTTTTTTAAGGCTATGAATAGCATCATGATACTGATAAACCAGAGTAATTGAACCATGTGTCTCCAAGAGTCTACTTTAAAGGTTGTTATTATTATAATTTCAGCAACATAAAATTTTTTGGAGAAAATTCTTTGTGAATTGTATGTCTATATTCATGATGTATTTTTTCAAGGGGACATGTATGTTGGGAATTTGGTGAGCAGTTTTGTTACTTATTTCCTTATTTTGCGTTTTGGAGCTAAGAATGAGAGCCACAATTTTGGAATAGAAGCTTAACTTTTCCTTCCCTCATCTTCAGAAATGTCTCTCTCTCCTACCCACTCCTCGACCAACAAAAAAAAGTTGTGTATTTACATCATATTAAAAAGTTTGAAAAATCCAATCCGGGAAGCTTATAGGGAAAATAAAATGTACCCCATTTAATAACACATATATTCTAGATGGATAAAACTAAAAAGACCAAACTCTTGCCGCCGAGTTGATTCTGACTCATGACAAGCCCACATATGTCAGAGCAGCACTGTGCTCCACAATGTTTTCAATGACTGATTTTTGCGAAGTAGATCACCAGCTCTTTCTTCTGAGGTACCTCTGGGTGGATTCGAATTGATGACTTTTCAGTTACTAGCCGAGCGCTTAACCAGTTGTACCATTTGGGTTAATAACGGACTGAAAAAAGTGTATGCAGATTTATTTCTAAGGAAAAGTTAAACAATAGACATTTTATTTAGACTATTGAACTTAAAAATCTGGGTTGAAAACAATTGACATACCAGAGCAAATCATCAAGTACCAAGCTGAGTACTGCTGAAGTATAAAAGATTGTGTGTGTGTTTCTTTTTTAAAGCAACGAAGAGCATAGTTTTTCCTTCTTTCACCAGTGAAAACTTGAAAAGATTGCTGTGTTCTAAAATGGGATACACTTGCACACTTTTATTTGTTCTCATCACACCCAGTAGGTGGCACTGTTTGCCTTTGACAGATAACACAAAACCCATTGCCCCTGAGTCAGTTCCGACTCATAGCAATCTTACTGTTCTTGCTTTTCTTACAGTTCCAGTTGAACAAGTCTGAAGAGTCAACTTTTCATTCTGTGTTCTTTATAGATGAGGGTTATGTGGGGATATATAACAATGCACAGGTTATGGCATGGTTTAATAGGACCGTCTTGGCATATCTGAGGTAAACGACATATCTCATTAATCCTGATGCAATGTAGAGATATTTTCCCGTCTATTTGTGAGGACAAAGACTGGTAGGATGAATAAGAGATAGTTCTGATTTTTCTCGGTAGGTTTTTCTGTTGGGAGCTGTGTTATGATCATTTACTTTATAATGGCATCGTCTATCAAGGAACCCAACATTCAATTCCGTCTCAATAACTGCTCAGAGTATAATGTGGAGCCTTTTTTATGTTTTAATAAAGTTTATTTTAATTTCAGTGAATTGAGAGTCTAAGAATTGTGAGTGCTTTTAATTTTATTATTTTAGCAAACCCATAAAACTGCAAAAGGTCAATCTCATTTGTGCCTGATGTCAAAGACAAAGCTAAATCTGAGAGCAAATTAACACAGTCTGCTTGTTCATAAACAAGGAGAGCCGTCTCTGTTACTTTTATTTCAGCAGGGGTTTCAAAGGTGTTAGAAAGCAGAGTCAGTTTTATTGAGTAAAAAGAAGTTCTGAGACAGTCTCTGATTGACAAGTGTTCTATGAAGGTGGGAGTTTTGGGAGTGGGGAGGCTTTCTAACTGGTCTTCAGGTACATTTGGCAGTCGTTGGTGGTTGTAAAGGAAACCTTGGTGGCGTAGTGTTTAAGAGCTATGGCTGCTAACCAAAAGGTTGGCAGTTCCAATCCACCAGGCACTCCTTGGAAACACTATGGGGCAGTTCTGCTCTGTCTTATAGGGTCACTATGAGTCGGAATCAACTTGACAGCAATAGGTTTGGGCTTTTTTTTTTTTTAGGTTAGTGGCTGCAAGGGGGCAAGTGAGCAGTTTGGGTTCATTTCAAAAGCAGAAGGACTGCTCAATGTTAGTGGCAGAGTTTTCTGTGGTCATGCATTTCCTGGAACAAGTGAAGTTTCATGGGTGCTTTTTTGCCATTAAACTGTCATAATGGTCCTTAGGGGGGATGGGGGCTGGCTGCCATGGCAGGCGTTTTCTCATGGGTGACAGTATTAGGGGGTTAAAAACGTGGACTCTGGAATCAGAATGTCTGTTTCAATATCCTGCTCCACCACTTCTTGGCTGTGGGACCTTGAAAATTCTCTAGAACACTCCGTAACTCAGTTTTTTCATCTATAAAATGGGACTAATAATAGTATGGGGGAGTTTCTGAGGATTAAATAAGATAATAAACACAAAGAACCTAATACGTAGTAAGCACTCAGTTAATGGTAACTTTTAAATATTATTTAAAAGGAGCCTCGGGGGCCCAATGGTTAAGGGCTCGGCTGCTAACTAAAAGGTCAGTGGTTTGAATTCACCAGCCACTCCCCAGGAGAAAAGACCTGACTATCTGCTCTTGTAAAGATTACAGCCTAAGAAACCCTATGGGACATTTCTACTCTGTCAAGTGGGGTCACTATGAGTTGGAATCAAGTTGACAGCCCACAACAACAATATTATTTGTGGACACTGGCTTCAACGACTTGAATTTAAATGGATTTAAGAGCTGAGAAAAAATTTGCACATTCAAGACAAATTTTCTCATTACTATATTATAGTTTGGGGCATAAAAACCTTCCAATTCATCTTTTGCTACGAAACAGGGAATAAAATAAATGCTGTGAAAATTTTAAGCACCCATCTCTCATGACTTCTTATGGATTCAGGGAAGAGAATAAAATTTTGCTTCAACTTAATAAACATACAGTGGTCGTGGCTCTGAATCAGCCCAGTTTTTCAGTACCTTTACCCATTTGCAAAGCTGTGCGCTTCTAAGTAGGTTACCAAGTGCCTTCCAGCCTGCACAGCAATGGAAATCATTGTTGATGAGGAAGAAGAAGCAGATACCATTAATTAAGTGGAATTTCAAAATTCTTCCTGTAACATCCCTCCCAGTACTTGAGACAATAAGGTATTTTTATGAGAAAAATTGGAGGGAATTTATCAAATATTTTTTAAGAAAAATCTTAAAGTTGAAAATACTGTCCACCCCGGGTGTTTCAATGTGCTTACTCAAATTTTCGTGATGCATACATATTTGCAGGAGTTGACAAACAGCCCCAAACTTGAATTTTAATTGCTCATGGGGCCAATGAAAGAAGCCAACGATCTGGATGAAAATGACCACAGACACACTTCCCGTTGGCACCTGTAGACCCTCAGGTGTGGGTCTTTGCCCAACGTGCAGTGACCGCCTTGGAGCCCTTCATGGTGTGCTTCCTAGTTTAGAATTCTTCTCATGTATGCACTTTCTTATTTGCAAGGGTTTCTAGGACACTCTTATCTTTAATGATGGAAATAAGAGTTCCAGGGTGACTGCCTGAACTTCTGATCAATTCCCATGTGGTTTTTCACTGCTTGCCCAGATGAGTGTGTATTCCTGGAATGGAGATTGGTGCTGGGTACTTTTCCCCAGGCAAGAGGAGGCTTGTCTTCTAGGTGTGCCTGAGGCAAAAGGACACCTACTTTTTCTAGGCTGGAACATCTCCGACAGGAAGTAGATTGGCAGTTACGGTGCTCTTGAGTGATTACCGTGAATAAACAATTAGGCCAAGCCATATGGAATTGCCAATTTTGACCTACAAGGAAGTAATTTCATGTGGTTCAACCTAATATATTGTGGCTTATAGGCAGGATAAGAGAGTGTCTGCCCAGGCAGAATTCAAACCAAGGCCGATGAAGTTTTGACCTACATGATCATTGGAGAGAAAACCCACCTCACAAGGTATGGAACAAACAGCATGGCCTTGGGCATCAAGAGTGTCCAACTTCTCATTCTGTTATTTCTGAACAAGCCACTTCACCTTTCTGAGCTTGTTTCCTCATCTGCAGAATGGACATATAATAAAAGAATGGAATGTGATAGCACATGTGAAGAAAAGAATGTCCTTGACCTTTGCCTTCCCCATTGAGAACGTGCCATTTCATGGTTGGAATCAGCACTGACAGGTGGGAAGGCCGACCTTACTGATGCATGAATTGCCTTTCTTCAGGAGCACAAGGCCAGCTCCTCTGCCTTCCTGAGGCCCTTGCCCATGCTGCAGCACAGAGCCTTCTCTTTTCACTTGTGCTCTGAGTCACTCACCAGGTTATACCGACTCCCTTGGGAAGAGCAGGTGGCCTATATTTAGAATAGCATCAGCTGCTTTCGCAAGCATTTCAGCTATTGCTTAAAAGTATTAATCAAAACTTACTCTCTCTTTTTTAGCATTGCCTATGCCGGCCATGGGTTTCATACGTAAACTTGTTTCAGATGATCTTTTAAATCTTTATAGGGTCTTCTTCGTAGATTTGGTTTGAAAGAAGAGGGTAGGAATAGAAGAATGAGAAACTATACCTGCAAGCAAATCTCTTTAGATGGAAGTCTTAGTTATTGCAGCCTACACATTATAGCATACCTAGATGATTTATTTGTAAATGAATCGCCTTAGTAGGTTTCATCTTCAATTTTGAACAGTCCAGTGAGGTAAAGCTTATCATGTCAGGTGTTCATATACTCCACTGTCTACAGAAGTTCAGATTTCCCATTGTTATGCTCAAGGCTTCTGTGAGCTGACCCTAATCTA